CACTCCCCCTGCTTGTGTTCCCTCTCTTGCTGTGTCTCTCTCTGTCAAATAAATAAATAAAATCTTTAAAAAAAAAAAAAGAATGCAAATGAATACCCAAGAGCACTGAGAACTCGCAGATAATTATACTGTAAACGAATTACTCTTAGCCAAATAATTTCCAAGGCAGATTTACAAAAATCACTTCATATTATTTTACAGTAATGTGTTATATTTAATGTAGTAATTCTGTGTCTTAATAATTGATTTGGTGAGGAACTTCCAAAAGTAATAGTACTTCATCCTAGGAAGGTCTTAAAATGACCTTTGATACAATTAGCCCCATTTTACAGATTTAACTCTATGCTCTGCAGTTTTCTGGTCATACTAGTCAACATCCCCAGTTTCTCCTGGCCAAGTCCTCCCGCCTTCCTCTTCCCACCCCCCCTCCGTCCCCACTATCACCGACAAGCCCACCCTGGGCTGGGTACACACAGGGTGTGTGTGTGTGTGAGAGAGAGAGAGAGAGAATGGTCAGGCAAGGTATACGTTTCCCAGGCTCTGGTCCCCTCTTCACTTGCTCACCACTCAGGTTGTTCCACTGTCTCCCTGGATGGCTTCTGGAACTAGGAAAACAGCAATCCCCCAAATCGCCACCAGGTGGTGCCACAAGCTCATGCCTGAGGAGACCTAGCTAGAAGGCCCCCGGGTGCCCTCCCCAGGCTGCTTCTCCATCTCCGGGTGACTCTGGCCCCTCCGGGGTGAGCTGCATGACTTTGCTTCCACCACGTGGTAGGCACAGAAGTTTCACTCCCGCTCCCTCACCTTCGCAGTCTCCCAGCTGTGTTGTCTCTCCCTGCTCCCGTCCCCTTTCCCTATGTCCTTCTGTCTGTCTCCTCCCCCATCTCTCTCTTTCTGTCATCTACCTCCATCTTCCTAACAAATCTAATACTCCTCCACCTCATTCAACAAGTTAGTTTTAAAAACCAGTTGCTACGGGGGCGCCTGGGTGGCTCAGTCGGTTAAGCGGCTGCCTTTGGCTCAGGTCCTGATCCCAGGGTCCTGGGTCCAGCCCCAGCTGGGCGGGAAGCCTGCTTCTCCCTCTGCCTCTGCCCCTCCCCCACCTTGCTCTCTCTCTCAAATAAATAAAATTTTAAAAACAAAACAAAACAGTTGCTGGTGACTATTATATGGCAGACGCTTTGCCAGGCTCTAGGAAAGTCAGTGAAAAGTCAGTGAAGGCAAGTCAGAGTCCCAGTGTAGGGGAAGCTCCCAACAGAGGAGGACTGTGATAGGTGAGCCCCTTTTATCCTCTGCCTCCTCCCTCTCCCCTCCCTTCCCCCTTCCCTCCCTTCCCCTCTCTTCCCTTCCAAAAACCACTCACCAGAAAGAGCCAGAAGTGCTCTCCTCTCAGCTCCCATCCCTCCCGTACACAAATCTCCCCAAGGCCACCTCTTCATCATTCTCATTTCAAGATTTTGGGGGCCCCACCAGGGCTAAACCAGGGCCTTGAGTGAATGACCCAATGACTGAGATCTTCCCACCAACCACTCCTACCCATGTGTTGGATAGGGCCCCCGGGTGGGGTGGACTATAGATTTTTACCTTTGCCCAGATATCTACCCCATCCTTATTTCCTCCTTCTTTCTCTGGGATAAGGGGTCACTCCATTTGTCCACAGCTAATCCCTCCATCAGGCTCAGGTCCCATTCCCTTCTCTCCCTCCCCACCCCTACCTCTTTCTCCCTTCCTACTGGATCTTAACTCTCACTTCCTTCTTCAAAGTGCCCACCTCCATGCCAGCCAATGCAATTAGACAAGAGAAAACATTTTAAAACCTTGATAGGAGGAGATGAAGTTCTAGAAAAGTGAAATTTAATTCATAGCAATGGAAGAGCAGATCAGTGGCGGCCTGGGGCCAGGGAAGGGACATGGGGGAAGTTTGTGAGTTGATGGCAATGTTCTGTATCTTGACTGTGTTGGCTGATGGTTACATGGTGTTCACATTTGTCAGAACACATCAAGCACTACATTTACAATGACTGCATTTCATTGTGGTATGAAAAAAAAGTAAAAAGTAAAAAAAAAAAAAAAAAGTAAATGCTGGAGGAAGACAGCAAAAACCCTGTGCTTTGAAAATCTAAGTTAAAGAGCAATAAACAGTTGGACAATAATAGTAAAAACCCTACACTGAGATGCCTTTCCTAGGGTGCTGGCCTCACCAAGGAATGAGTGCCCCTCAACACGGGGAATTAGTGGTAGGCCTTACTCCCCACCTATATAGACATCCAGAAGATTCAGTTTCCTGTAAATGTTATGTTGATCCTCCCACAACCACAAAGATAATCTCAGTTTCGATTTCTTCTAAGCTTTCACGAGGAAGACGTGGGGCTTTCCCGTAAACTCCCGGCATGCTGCGTGCTGCTGTGGAGAAAGGAACAGCTCATATATGAAGTTCACAGTCCGGCAGGAAGGACAGGCACTGATGCCAGGAATAGCGACAGCCCCAATGTAGAGGGGGGCCCAGTGGAGAGCAGAGGACCATGCCCCACTAGGCTTCAAGGGTGGCGGGGGAGAGTGGCTGGTGGGGGCGGGAGGGACTGCAGGGAAGGCAGCCTCCGGCTGAGGGCAGAGCTGGGGGGGGGGCAGCTGGCCGGGGCTCTGGCCCTCCAAGGTGGGGACCCTGGAGCTGAAACCTGAACCCCAAGGCCACGCAGTCCACACTAGGAGGACTTACCAGAGGAGGGAAAAGGCAAGCACTGGCAGGAAAAGAGGGGAAAACCAGATGGGGCCTGGTGCCAGGGGGGCTGGTGAGGCCCCGAGGGGAACAGCCTGGTGCCAGAGGACAAGCCCAGGGCTGTTTCGCAGAGGGGAGGTTCTGATTTCTGTGGGTTTCTTTTTTCACAAGCCTTTCCAGGAAGTGAGATTCATTTCTTAGGGCTGAAGAAGTAAAAGGCCCCTTCCCTGGGGTCCCTGGGGTTTGGGCTGGAGCACTGGAGCAGAAAGCCGGGCCAGGCTCCCAGGGCTAAAGCCCCCCGGGCCGGGCCTCCAGGCCCAATTCCTTCTGTTTCCTTCCCCTCTGCTGGGGGAGAAACAGGGACCCCGGGGGGGAAGACAGGGAGCTGACAGCAGCCCTGACTCCTCTGCTGAACGTGATCAGACCCCCCACCCTGCCCCTCGGGAGGGTGTCTGCAGGACCAGCCCAGACACACCCATACCTCTCTTTCCTGGTGAACTTCTACCCCAAAGAGGAACGGAAGAGCCCACACCTGCCCCAGGGTCTCTGAAATCCCTGGCAGGAAGGGGAACTGTGGGTGATTTACACGCATATATTAAGGGTGTGTCAGCCTCCCAGCCCTCGTCCTTCCCCGGGTGGCGGTAAGGGCATGGCCTTGGGAACCCCCCAACCCAAGCCCGTGCCCCCACTTCTCTTCAATACATTGTAAACAGCACATTTATTGGTGGTTTGCAAACCTCTGGTAAAAAGCACAGGAACAGGGCTCTCCTACATGCTGCCCTGGGCCCCAGCCCGTCAGGCATGCAAGACGGAGCTGGTAGATGAGTCGTCAAGACATCTTCAGGAGCAGGGCCAGAGGTGGAGAAGGCCCCACGCTTTTCCATCCCCCCTGCACACTGGCTTGGGCCTAGACGACAACCAGGAAGGCAGGCCCAGCTCCATCCCCGAATCCCTGCCCTGCAGTGACTCTCCTTGGTGGCTGCCTTCCTTCTCCCCCACTCACCCTCTCTGATACCCACTTGAGCTGGGACCTGAGCCACATGCTTGGCTCCCTCGCGCTGGGACCAAACCCGCTGCGGTCAGGCTGTTCCTGCGGGCCCTGCCTCTGCAGTCAGTTAGCCAGCAGAGCGGAGCAGGCCTGGCCCTCGTCATCACTCCGTGTACCCAGCTCGGGGCGGGGCAGTCAGCCGGGGACCGGGATGGGCAAAGGCTTGTCCAGAGAAGCACTCTAGGTGAGAAGGGCCAGGTGGCCTGACTCAGTGTCTCCCAGCCTCTGGTGTCTGCCCAGCCTCCATTCATTGGCTCCTGGCTGAGCCTCGAACTTCTCAGGGCCTCAACAATCCAAGGTGTGGCAGCAGTGCCTCCTCCTCCAAGATGCCCCCCCGGCTTGATGCCAGACTTGGGGCTGGGCTATGGACAGTCAGCCAAAGCTGCTACTTCAGGGCCCTGAGGACAGCCTCCAGCTTCATGGCCACAGCCAGGTCACCCTTCACCTTTAGCCGCCCACTCATGTAGGCCCCCAGGGGCCGCAGCTCCCTGCACAGAAGGGCCCGCAGGTCTGCCTCCGCCATCTCCACCACCACATCCGGGAGGCCGTCAGGCACCCCGTGGCCTACCCTCCCGTGCCCTGTGGAGGGAAAGAAAGATGGAGCATTAGTAGTGGGGATGGCTATGCAGCGTGTCCCACTGGGAGGGGTGGAAAGTAATAATTCAGTGTTCAGGTTCTAATTCCCTGAGTTCAAGTCGTATTGGCTGTGCGACCACTCAGGGCCTCAGTTTCCAAATTGGTGAAATGGGGAGGACGGTCATCCCTGAATCAGAGGCTCGCAGTGAGAAGTAGGTGAGATCACGCACTGCACGTGCTCAGCACAGAGCCTGGCATGCAGGAGGCCTGCACTGTGTGCGGGACTCTGGCTGTAGGGAGCTCGGTCGTCGGAGTCATCGTGCTCACGGGGACAGGGCAGGGAGACAAAGGCCCGGACTGTCATTGTCTGCACATGCTGCCTGAGCCCCTGACTGCTAGGGGTTCCCTCTAAACCGCTGTAGGAGCAGAGAGCAGTTTTAAAAAGGACCACAGGGGTGGTGGGGTTGGCTACAAGCAACCTGGCTGGGAAGGCGGGGGCGGGGAAGGCAGGGGCACCTGTAGTGAGGTCGAGGAAGTAGATGCTCTGGGTACCACTGGGCAGGATGACATTGAACTGGTAGCAGGCCCCGACCTGGCTGACCAGGGCCTCCGACAGGAAGGGCTGCAGGGCAGTCAGCAGGCCCTCGGCCACGGGCTGCTTTGGGCTGGGCCCAGCACCAACGTGAGGGGCAGGCTGTTCAGCTTCGCTGACCATCTCCAAGGTGTCTGCTGGGGGTGGCCAACGGAGTTGGGGAAGGAAGCAGAGAGAAGAAGGTCAGTGTGCTGCCTAGGTGGGGCTCATTGTGTCTTCTGCACGTCTCATGGCAGCTCCCTCTTATACGCCCTTCAGGCCTGAGTTGGACTTCCTCCTCGGCTAAGAAGCAGCCCTTCAGCTTTCACACTCTGGGTGCTGTCCCTTCCTCCCACGGAGGCTCCCAAAGGCCTCTACGCATTCAGACAGCTGGGCTCTTTTTACTGCCTTAGCTCCCGTCGGCTCCAGCAGTGGGGGAGGCCTGAGCAGCTGGGCAGGTGTGCACCACTCAAAGGCGCTCGGCTCAGTTAAGGGAACGGGGAGCAAAGCTGAGCATGCGCAGGACATGGAGCCGAGCACCCTGGGAGCACCTCCCCTTCTTCCCGGGGCTTCTCACCTGACCCTGGGGCTGAGGCACCTCCCGCCACAGAGGACAGGCCTCCTCCTAGGAAGTGGAGGGCCAGCTGCTGGAGGGTGCTGTCCAAGCTGGGCCCCGCTGGGCTGTCCTGGGGTGGCTGGAGCACGGCCTCCACTGCTAGCTCCACTCGGTCCACCTCCAGCCCCCAGGCCCTGGTCACATCATTGATTTCCAGCTGGCAAACAATGTGTGGAGAAATGGAATTAAATCGAAAAGCCATTCTGGGAGCACCTTCTTCGGGCTGGAGGTGCCACGCCCCACACCCCCCACTCCGGGCCAGGCTCCCTCCTGGGGAATGCAGGCAGAGGACGATTACAACCTGGCAGCTGGCGTGAGCAACTAGAACCAGGCCTGACCCCCTGGAGGTCCAGGGAGCGGGCAGTGACGCCGGGAGGAGCGGAGTCATCCCAGCCAAAGAGTAGAGCAGGAAGGAAGACTGCGGTGTTGTGATTTATAAGAACTAGGCATTTGGGGGCGCCTGGGTGGCTCAGTCGTTAAGCGTCTGCCTTCGGCTCAGGTCATGATCCCAGGGTCCTGGGATCGAGCCCCACATCAGGCTCCCTTCTCGGCGAGAAGCCTGCTTCTCCCTCTCCCACTTCCCCTGCTTGTGTTCCCTCTCTCGCTGTCTCTTTCTGTCAAATAAATAAAATCTTTATAAAAAAAAAAAAAGAAATACGCATTTGATCATTTAACTGATAAAATATACTTCTATATATTTGTCTTTGTTCCTGACTCCTAGCTCCTACAACCCTTGGAACTGCCTGTGAGGAGAGTGATAAAGGGGTCTTTTATGATGATAAGAAAGGTGATTTTTGGACCCCACTCAAGGGTGGGGGTTGGCTGCCAGAAGGACCAACCATGTGATGAGAGAATTGGAACTTTCAGTCCCACCCCAAGCAATGACCAATGACTTGATCCTCAGTATGCAAAGAAGCCTCCATAAAATTCCTAGAACGACTGGGTTCCAGAGCTTCCAGACAGGGGAACACAAGAGGGGTGCCTGGGGAGGACATGGAAGCTCTGTGCCCCTTCTCCCGACCTTGCCCTGTGTATCTCTTTGTCTGGCTGTTGATTCTTACCTTTTATCATATCCTTTAGTAAACTGGTAAGCATAAGTGTTTCCCAGAGTTCTGTGAGCTGCTCTAGCAAAAAAACCCAGGGAGGTCGCTGTAACCCCCAATCTGGAGCTGGTTTGTCAGAAGCATAGGTTAACAGCCTGGGGCTTGTGACTGGCATCTTTAGTAAGGGATGGGGAGCAGTCTTGTGGGACTGAGACCTTAACCCATGGGATCTGATGCTGTCTCTGGGTAGACAGTGTCAGAATTGAGTTGAATTCTCGGGATACCCTACTGGTGTCTGAAAATTGCGTGGTGTTGTGTGTGTGGAAACCCCCCTTCCCCACACTGGAATTGGGTCCAGGAACCCCACAAGGACTCTTTCAGTCAATGGAAACAGCAAGTACAAAAGCCCAGACAACCTGGAATGTCTGGGGAAGTGAGAGTAACCACCGTTCCATTTAGCTAGACCCTCAAGTGTGGGTTGGGAGACTGGAGACAGCTGAGGGCTCAGATGTGGGTGGCTCCGGCTCACTCGGATTTATTCTGACACACGAGGAGCCTCGGAGAGGAGTTTAGCAGGGGGGTGACAGCAGACTTGCTCATTGGGAAGATCCTCCTGGCTGCTCTGTGGACACTGGATTGAAGGGGGCTGAGGGTGGAGACATGGAGACCACGTGGGCCATCGTTTCAAAGGGCAAGCAGAAATGAGGCGGATCTGGTGTCAGACAGAGAGGAGGCTGTGAAGCCAAAACACGCAGAGGACGGAGCACAACTCTGTCAACTGTATGAAGCTGGAGCAAGACCCCGGGGAAACAAGCAGTGAGTGCGCTGGCTGCCTGCAGTGACAGAGGGCGGAGCGGGGCTGGCTCTCTGGTGTGGGCTCCGCATGGGTCGTGAGCACGCGGGGAGACACACACTTGGGCGTGGCTAGGGGAGGGAAGAGGACTTTTTTTTTTTTAACATAATCAGCTCGAGGTGTCTATGCAACAGCAACTGTCCAGGTTGGATAAATGGGGTCCAGGTCACAGGAGTGGGGCCGGAGCAGAGGGTTGTAAACAATCAGTGTCCAGAGGCAGCACGAGGCCTGGCCGGATGAGCCTTCCCGGGCGGTCCCAGACAAGAAGACGCCATTGACGGAAACTTGGAAACTGAAGAGCAGGAGAGCAAGGAGTAACCAGAGTGAGCTAGAAGGAGGAAAAGCCGAAGTGGAATAACGGAAGCCAAGGGAAGCAGAGGATCCGAGAGAGAGAGAAGGGGGGGCGGGGGGAGGAGGGTGCACAGAGTCAGAGGCTCCCACGAGGTGAAGCAAGCGTAGGACTGAGAAGTGCCGGGAGCTAGCAGGAGGGAGGTCACACTGCTGTCTTAGGAGTCTGGAGGAAGCCTAGACTGAGGACAGGGGCGGGCAGGGCCAGGGAGAGGCGAGGAGAGGTGGGGGAGAGCTGTCAGGGGCTGGGGTGCAGAGGGAACCTGCGCCCATGCCCACGCAGGGAGGAGCGGAGGGAGGACTAACAGAGCAGGAGCCGAGCCCAGAGCACCGCCCACGCAGGGAGGAGCCTCGGAGGAAGCACCGCTTGCAGTGAGGCAGGGGCAAACAGCGCAGATGGCAAGGAGGTTGAAGGGGTGACGCTGGAGGAGCTGAGACGGTTCCTGTCCTGGAGTGTTTGCCAAGCCCCAAGGAGGAAGAGGCCAGGCTGCAGCAGGGGGATGTGGTGTGGGGCGGGCAGTGAACGGAAGCAACAGGCCTGGGGGAAGAGTAAGCAGCTAAGGAGGGTCCAGCAAGGGAGAGTGCAGAGTGTGCGTCCCTCCAGGGAAGCGAAGGCAGAAAGGGGAGTGAGAATGAGAAATGTACGCCTGACCCAGGGCTTCTGGGAGGCAGGCTGGCGTTCCCAAGAACTCGTTGTAACCACAGGCACTGAGCCCACTCTACCAGGCGCCAACTCCATGTGGGCAACAGGCCCTAAATGACTAACATCCTGGTGTGGGACTGACTTCCCCCAAACTGCCTCTCTCAGTTCCGTTGCACAACGCGCCTGGTGTTCTGGTTTCTTCCCCGACCCGCCCCTGACAGCAATAAGGCTGAGATCAGCTTTCTCCTCTGAAAAGTACACTAAAATGGAATGTGGTTTCATAAATAAAAGTTATCAATTTGCTATCAATTGTAGAAGATGGAGCGCTGGATTGAGGGGTAGGGGGGTGGGAGGGCAGGTGATCTGCCACTGGGCCAGCTCTGCCCTTGACCATGGTTCTTGGGGGGTGACAAATAACTTCTGAGTCCTTAGTTTCCTCCCTCCAAAATAAAACCATAATATCGGCCCTCTCGCAGCAAAATGTAAAGCGGATACACGTGGGCAGCGAAAGGACTTGTAAACTCTAAAATGCTCAGCACGTGAGAGCTAGCATCACGAGCACAGTACCATCTCCTTGGCAGTTTCCTCCACGGGGTTGGTTCACTTCCGGAGGGGACTGGGACCTCCGGGACTGGCATTACCCCATCCCTCCCGTCCTCGAACCCCAGGTCCCCAGGGGAAAACAGAGCCAAGGGGACTAAGGGGAAACCTCACGCAGGGTCCACTAGGACATGGGAGAAAGCCCAAGGTGAGCATGGGGAGCAGGGGACAGGCTGCCTCAGGTGACACATGCCACATTTCCACCCTATCCTGTCACAGAAGGGATGCAAGGGGAATTCTGGTGTAATTATTCCACGTGGAGAGGCAGGAAAAAGGTCCAAATGCCCTTGTGTCACTTTGTTTTGTTCTAAATAAGGAACACAAAGCCCCCAAAATGCACATGCTGCCCTGTGGAGCACGAAATTCCCCAGAAGGTGACTGTGCCAGGAGGGCCCCTGCTCCTTTCACCCACCCACCTGCCTGTGAGGCCCAGCGTTGTCATGGCAATGCCTGCAAAGCAGTGAAGGGTGAAACCCCAGCAGTTAGGCAGGACCTCAGAATCTCGGTCAGGCCACTCCTCTCTCAGGGCCCCTGTGCCTCTCCAAGACAGGCTTGCCCAAGACCACTATGGGCTGCACCCATCTTCCGTTCCTCAGTCCCACCCAGACCGCAGGCTCTTCCAAGGTTGGAACATATGGTAAACTGAGGCCCAGAGCAATCTGGTGCTTTGCTCAAAGTGCCCTGGCAGGCAGAGCCAAGCCCAGGACCCACCACTGACCTCTACCATGTGAGGAGCTGCCTACCAGGAGCTGGTCGCTGATCTTGAGCTTCTCCATCTGGATCTCCCGCAGAGGCCTCTTGAGCAGGGCCTTGGTCATGGCGTTCTGGGCTGTCATGCGCGTGGCCATGTTCAGGTCCTTCACAGTCATCACAGACAGTACCGGATCCCAGATGCGGAACTGGACATCGGCCCCCACGGACAGCACAGCCCCATCCTTAGAGGCCAACTGTTAGGGAAGGTCGTGAAAGAGGAGACACTCAAGGGGCTGGTGCTGCAGGGAGGTCAGGCCCACCAAGACCACCTAACTTGACCCATCCTCCTGGTACCTAGCTCCTCAAGGGGAAAATCATGTCCCCAAGTGCCTGTCATTAGGTACATTGAGCAAGGATGTCGTCCCTGCCTCCATCCTCAACTTTCTGGTTTCTTCCGCCACCCTACCCCTGATGGCTATTCATACACCAAGGTACTGGCTCCCACAATCACTCTGCACAAGGCTCCACTCCCTCTGTCTGGGGAAGCTGAAAAGTTCCTCACCTTGCAGGGAGGGACATTGAAAGCTCGTGTCCTCAAATCCACCCGCTGAAAGGAGTCAATGAAGGGCAAGAGTAGAACCATGCCAGGCCCTTGAGGGGTGCGGATCCGGCCCAGTCGAAACACGATCATCCGCTCATAGGTGGGCACAATCTGTTCACGAGGGTAAGGGAAAGGGTAAAGTACTGGACCTAGGCTGACAATGGCGTCTGCTCAGGTACCCCCCACCCCTTTCTCTCCTTTGCCTTGGTCAGTGTCAGCTATCCTTAGATCTTTTTAGAAGAGAAAACCAAGGCTCTGAGAGGTTAAATGATGTGCTCAAAAATCACACAGGCCCTGAGTGAAACAGGCAAGAATTGAATGCAGTTCTGAATGCAGTTCCAACCCCAAGCAAAGGACTTTGCCAACTTTAGAAGTAAATAGGTCCAAATTGAGAAATGAAGGCCCAGAGAGGGTGACTTGCCCAAGGTCAGACAGTATTTGTTTCAGTGGCACTTTTAGGACTAGGATTTAGTACCTTCTAAAGACTTCCTTCTAGACCACACCAAACCCAAAGGCCTTCTAGAAAGTTGACTGTTGCCGAGGGCCACACAAAGGGCAAGGCCTGCCTGGGCTTTCACCTTCACTGCAGCTCTCAGATATGATCCTAAAGTATAGCTCGTGGCTTTCCCCTCTGCACCAGCCCTTGCTAAAAACCAGGCCTGAATTCCTATTACTCATTACCTGCTACTGGGCCAAGTGGAGTAGTTTTCAGTTCAAATTTCAGCCTAACCCAGAGAAAGGAAGGTGTGGCAAAGATATCTGTGTGCACCTTAAAGCCAGTGTCCACACCCCAGGACTTGGGAGTTTGGGAAGGCTTGTTTACCGCTCACTGGCTCCCAGTACTGTTTCCTCATCTAAAAGATACGAATGAACAATCCTGGACCAGCCCATTTCATTGGGGTGTGAAAATGTGATATTTAGGGGAAGGGGACAGAGGATGGAGAGTGGGGCCCAGTCCCCCTGGAGTCTGACCCAGCCAGCCTTACCTTCAAGGCAAACCAGCCAGAAATGGGAAAGGTGATCATCAGCAGCAAGAACCCCAGGAAACTGATGAGGCTGTGGCAGAAGTAGGAGGGCCAGCTCTGAGGCGCATCTGGGGACAAGAGAGCAGAGGCAGTCAAGGAACGCCAACTGGTTCTGGCAGGACAGCAGCAAGCTGAGTGAAGTTGGTCAAGTGCACTTTTTGCCCACCTCCCCCTTAAGCGGCTCGTCCCTCTCAGGGCTCTCTGTTGCCTCCTTGCCTAATTCCTGTCTTTAGCCAGATGCTAGTTAAGCATGTTCCCTCCTCCCACACATCAAAACTAATCGGCCTCAAGTCCCACCTCCACAGGGCCGAGTCTCTGCTAGGCAACAGCCATTAGATTTGAGAAGCCAATCCATGTGATGCTGTCCTCGCCAGGTATGTGGATCAATTCTCTTGTCTGATATATAGTGTCTCCCAGGTATGGGAGCCAGGAGCACCCGGGCATCTGTAAACACTGTGCTGGGTTGAACTGAATGCTGGTGGTAGAACACATTCCTCCTCTACCATCACCCCCAGAAGTGTGCTTTCAGGGCATCCTTTTGGAGATAATGCCTTAGCCTAAAGGGATAAAGCATTAATGGCTCAATAGGAACCGGTGAGGGTGAAGAAGTTCTTCCCTAGCTCACAACTCACCGACCCCTTTAAATGCCCTAAGGACTATCAAATGCTTTACTTGAAGTGGCTTGGGGTAGGAGGTGGGAACTAAGAAGATGAGGCTCATCTGAGACAGAGGTCCTGGCCCCTGGAGAACCAAGAGCCCAGGATGAAAGTGGAGCTTAGAAAGCCCCAGAATCTAGCATGGTTATCCTCTGCTCTCTTTCCCCTCCCAAGCCTGGGCAGGAAGCAGACAGGAGCTTTTGCTCAGTCCTCCCAGGAACTCCATGCCCTCTGGGCTCTCCAAGCCCCAGGACATTTCCTGTCTGGCTCTGACCCCTGTGGCCCCTGCAGGAAAGGAAGCCTTGGAGAGGGTTGGCTGTCATTACAGGAAGGTCAGGAAAGACCAAATCCTCCAGAGGTTGCTTGTCAGACTGAGGCATGTGGGCTCTGGCCTGGGGGCCAAGGGAATCCCTCAAGGCTCTGGAGCAAGATGACCAAAGCTGACAAAACAGGCAGCTGAGGGCCTGACCACATCCACCAGGAAACAGGCAGATGCTTAAGCTTCAGGCATCTAGAAGTACTCCTAGGATGAAGATTCTGCCATTTCTCTGTGGCCAAGCGCCCTTAGGGCGGTGGTGACCTCCCATGCCTAGACTCTGGGTTCTTTCTGGTCAAAATGGGAATTTGAGGGGTCTCCTGGATGGCCCAATCGGTGAATCTGCCGACTGTAGGTTTCTGCTCAGGTTGTGATCTCACTCCCTGAAATCTGGCCCCATCTGCTTGAGATTCTCTCCCTCTGTCCCTCCACCCGCCCTCCCTCCCTCCCTCTCTCTCAAATAAATAAATCTTCAAAATGGGAATTTGAAATCCTTTCCCAGGCTTAAAGGGCTGATACGAGCCGAGAGGAGAAATGAGGGGATGAGGCCTGTTAGAAGATGGGAGAGCTCCGGGCCAGGAGCCCAGTAGCCCTAGGAACGGCGGATGAGCGTTAGCATCCCAACGCCCGGTCCAGGCCCTTCTCCACATCGTAGCCACTCTCGATGCCTCCTCTTAGGGTGCGAGGGCGCCAGACCAACTGACTCCTGAGGGTACCAGCCGGTCCCCGCCCCGGGTCCGCTGTGCTGGGCGGCCACTCACCGGCCCCCGGCCCCACGCCGCCCCGCTCCGGGGACAAGCAGCCCTTCTGCGAGCCCAGGAAGCCGAAGCTCGACTGCTGGAAACGGTCAAAGTCCCCCAGGGGCAGCGCCCGGTACCCGGACCTGCCGAGCATGGCTCTTGACAGGGGCGCACCTCGCGCCCCCCCCGCGCAGCCGGGCCACAGAAGCCGGCCGCTACCCGGCCCGCCCCTGCCGGCCGCCGCTTCCGGTCTCACTGGCCACGGGCGCAGGAGACGGCGGCTAGCCGGGCCGGCTCCCGCCATCCCACAGCGCCCCCTGCGCCAGGAGGACCGAGCCCGCAGGAGTCGTGCCTCCCTACTCCGCCTGGCCTTGGAAAAGGAGCTGGATGGCAAAGTGAGCTTTGTGAGTGGGTTTTCAGGAGCCGAATTTCCTCCAGAATCAAGGAAATGCTACCAGCCTTCTCAGCACTCCCGCTGCAAGCTCACATACTGGGGTGGGAGTGTTGGGATGTCTTATCTAGAATTAAGGTTTCTCCTGGGCACTGTCAGCAAATTATCCCTCCTTGTGTCCCCACAGCCCCACAAGCCTGGCACAGAGTGGATCTCAGTACTTATTTGTTGAATGAACCCGCAGCCAGCCTCACTGCGGTCAAGGTGGGGCGGGAGGGCCTGAACTTTGGCACAAAAAGAGAAATTTCATGTGCAGACCTCAGGGAGCACAGCAGAGTGAGGAAGGAGGGGATAGCACAGAGCATCCCTGAGCAGGCCCTCCAGAGTATCACAAAGGTCCAGAAACAGCACACCCCTTGATCCAGAGGTAACTTGACCTAGAGGTAACTTGCCTCTCCATGGCTTGAGAAAATCTAAATGCAAATGGTAAATTTACTCTGAGAAGCATTGATTTTCAACATGGAGTTGGGGCAGGGTGTCTTTCAAAGTGAGCAAAGAAATTAATAAAGCTTTCCTTGTCTCAGCCACATGCCAGCCCTGCCTCCTCAGACCCATAATACCCCCAGGTGTGACTCTTCCAGGTCCCTTCTGCAGGGGCTACTCACCATCTTTGGCTTTTCCTAGTTTGATGGCCTGATTCTAAAGCCCTAAGGGTACTGATCAGGCTGGAGGATAGGGTAAGGCCCGTGAGGCCTCACACAGTCCTGGGAAGTTGGCTCTCCCTGCCATTCCCTTCCCCCACACAGCCCAGACGATAAGCTTTACAAGAGCAAGGTCCCATCACCATCCCTAGTCTGCTCCAAGCCAGAACTGAACTCAGAATTGTACCTGGGAGTTAGCACAGTGGTTGGGATGGTTTGCTGTTTGAAGCCAGGGCCTTTGGCCCAGTGAAGCTGCCTGGAGTTGTGCTTTCTCCCCTCACCAGCTGGGAGCTGACATCCTTCTCCTTTGGCCAAGAGCTAACTTGCTCTCTCCTCACTGTCTTCATACCTGCTCACCAGCTCTCCCCCTTCCCTCCCTGACCCCTCTGCCTCAGACTCACCAGCCTCTCCAACTGTCACCCAAGGCATCGTCTTGTTCTCCTCATCTCCACTCAGTGTCCTCCCAGTGTCTCTGACTCAGATCCCTCCTCTGCATCCCACAGCCATTGTCCTGGACCAGGCCACCTGTCCTAGGTTGTCAGAGTGACCGTCCCAGCATGCATGTTGGGTCATGTTTCTGGGTTCTAAACTCATTCTCTGTCACCCACAGAACTGGTCCATCTCCTTAGCCCTGATCCCGCTCATGGGTCCCCTCTTAAATCGGAAAATAACGAAAACTAGTTCCTAAACAGACTCTCCTGTTTCAAACCTCCAGGCCTTTGCACATGCTGGTCCAAACGCTCCCCGCCCCGCCCCTCCCAACCCCAAGTTCCTTCAAGTCCCAGCTGAGGATCTCCTTTCCAGCCAGTCCCTCTACTGTGTGAAAACCTCTGGGTAACTGCTCTTCCATTATTAGTTCTGGAGTTCTTCCAAAGCAGGGCCACCTGTGCCTCATCTCTGTGGCCGGGCTCAAAGCCGAGGGCGGCCGCTGCCTCCCTCCTGCTCTGCTCCGCCACGGTCCCTTTACCCCCAGGTCACCTGAGCGTCCTGTCTCCTCCCACTCCTCCCTCCGGCTCTGGGCGTGTCCTCAAAGCCCACCGCCGGCCTCTCCGCCCCTAGAACCGCCCCTCCGCTCTGTCTCACTTCCTCTCGGGAGGCGGGCCCTGAGCGGGCACCGCCCCTTTCGCACGGGCTGGGCCGACCCTGGCGACTGGCGCCGATCTCGTTCCGCTTCCCCTCCCGCCTCTCAAGCTCAAAACCGAGAATCGAAACTGTTCTGTGATCCATGCAGCAGGAGCCTGCGCCCGCCGGATCCCCGGGTCCCCAGCAAGACCCCGCACTGCCCCACACGCCCACCATGCCTCCCCCGGAGTCCGTCGCCGAAGGCCATCAGCCCAGCCCCAGCCACAGCCCTGCGGAGGTACTACTGGGTTTGGGGAGATGGGATTTAGGCTTTGTTGATTTGCTACGGTGCGGGGAGAGGTGGGAAGGGAGAGGGCAACTTGACCAAGTACCTTAAAGAGTGACAGAGAAAACCAGACATTGGGTCCTGACCCTCTTGGCTGGGGTAGGGAGGGGTACGTGAGAGTAGAAAAGGGCAACAGGATGAGTTAGGGGAGGCTCTCCCGGCTGGGATTCTCCACGAACAGGGGGCAGGACGCTGAGGGTCCGTGACACTTGGGACTGGACTCTTCTGTCCATCCTGGCGACTCGCCCCCTAAGCCCTTGCCTCAGATGAAGGTGCACAGATTAGGGAGAATGGCGGGAGTAGCCCTATTGCGCAGGCCCGGAGCCAGGGGGATGTCCCAGGTGTGGAAAACCAAAACCCAAGTTCCCAGATCAGAAAGCGGGAAACTGGCCCAGATGAGAGAAGTGCCTTGGCTAAGGCCTCAGAGCTCCTGTGGTGGTTTCTCCACTAGGAGACCTCCAGGATCCTTCTCTTGGAACACCCTGCGTGCCCAGCCCCCCACCCCTCCCCGCTTTGACCACAAGGGCTTACTAGGTCCTCCTCCTCAGTCCGCTCCCGCTCCCGGAAAACTCCCCAGCTGCCCTCCTCCCGCAAAGGAATTACTTACATCACTTGCTCTATGTTCTCCCAGGCCCTTTGGCTCCCCTTCATGAAAGTACCATCTTGCAGTAACTTTTATTATTTGCATTATTAGAACTAGGAGTAATATTACTTAATTATGAACACTCCTCATGTGCCAGGTCCTGTATTAAGCACTTTTTTTTTGCTATAAGATATCCATAACATAAAACTTACCCTTACCGTGTTTTTGAAGATTTTATTTTTTGTAAGTAATCTCTACTCCCAGTGTGGGGCTCGAACTTCCTGCGATCAAGAGTTGCATGCTCCACTGACTGAGCCAGCCAGGCCCCCCAAAACTTAACCATTTTTAAGTGTACATGTCAGTGGCATTAACTATATTCACAACGTTGGGTAACCGTCACCACCATTTCTGGAATTTTTTTATCACCCCCAACAGAAACTTTACTCCTTAGGCGGTAGCTCCTTATTACCCCCTTGTCCCAGCTCCTGGTAACCTCCAAACTACTTTCTGTTGCTGTGGATTTGCCTAGTCTAGATTTCATATAAGCAGACCGTGCAATATTTATCCTTTTGTGTTTGGCTTATTTTGCTTAGCATAAATGTCTTCAAGGTTCTCATAGCATGTATGAGAATGCCCTTCCTTTTCATTTTATTTATTTATCCATTCATTCGTTCATTTATTCATTTATTTATTTATTTATTGGTAAAGACTTTATTTTTAAGTAACCTACACCCAACGTGGGGCTTGAACTCACAAGCCCGAGATCAAGAGTCACATGCTCCACCAGCTGAGCCAACCAGGCCCCCCTTCCTTCCTTTTTAAAGCTGAATGATAGTCCCTTGAACGCGTAGACCACTTTTGTTTATCCATTCATCTATTGATGGACACTTGGGTTATTTCTACCTTTTGGCTATTGTGCATAACAGTGCTATGAACATGGGTGTACAAGTATCTGTTTGGGTACTTGTTTTCCGTTATTTTGGGAAATATATCTAGGAATGAAATTGCTGGGTTATATGGTAGTCCTGTGTTTAACTTTTTGAGGAGCCACCAAACCACATTAAGCACTTTATATGATGTTATATGAGACACACTTAATGGATCTCCTTTCTAAACTGAGTCCCATGAAGGTAGGGATTTATCCTGTCCATCCGGGGATCTCAGGGCCCAGTACTCTTGTCTTATGGGAAGTTGATGCTCAGGACGTTGTGGAGTGAGAGCAGGAAGGCCTGAGTAAGTGGGGGAGTGTGGTCCTGGTAAGCGTGGGTTTTCTATCATCCAAGGACTGCGCAGAATGGACTATTGGAGTCCCACTCCAGCCTCCAGCCACAGGAGTGGGTCTGGTGGGTGGGGGCTCCTGGATTTCAGGCCTCACCCCCACCTCTCTGGTCCCCCAGCAAGCCATGGAGGAGGAGTTCCAGTTCCTGTGCTGCCAGGGCTGCCAGGTCGAAGCCAAGTGCCCCAAGCTGCTGCCTTGTCTGCACACGCTGTGCTCAGGATGCCTGGAGGCGACGGGCATGCGGTGCCCGATCTGCCAGGCGCCCGGGCCCCTAGGCACTGACTCGCTGGCCCTGGATAACATCTTCTTCGAGAGTCTACAGCGGCGCCTGTCCATGTACAGGCAGATCGTGGACGCGCAGGCCATTTGCAACCGCTGCAAAGAACCTGCGGACTTCTGGTGTTTCGAGTGCGAGCGCCTCCTCTGTGCCAAGTGCTTCGAGGCACACCAGTGGTTCCTCAAGCATGAGGCCCGGCCCCTGGCGGAGCTCCGCAGCCAGTCGGTGCGGGAGTTCCTAGACGGCACGCGCAAGTCCAACAACATCTTCTGCTCCAATCCCAACCACCGCCCCCCTATGCTGACAAGGTGAGCCCGCCGGCCCAGGGTGGGGTGGCACATCTGAGAGCCGGGTGGAAGGTGCGGGGAGCAGAGATCCAAAGAGTCACGCAGCTGGGAACGTGGGATAAGGAGCTTCTAGGGTCTTGCAATTCAGAGTGTGGTCCGCAGACCGGCAGCATCTGGGGCCATGACCACGGTTTATGTTATCCCATGCAAATGGATAGTAATCCTAAACAGTTTCCCCCTGTAATAAATAATGCTGCAGAATCATCTTTACACACTTATCCAGTCATTTCTTCAGGGTAAATTTTGGAAATGGCATTGCAATTCAGGGGTATGAAAATTTTACACTTTGATACATGTTACCAAACTGCCCTTTAGAAAGTCGTACAGTGGAATTTTCCATTTCCTGGCCATGGAGTGTGGGTGTACAGTTAGATTCTCAATGAGATGCAGGTAGTTTCTGTCTGAAAAGTCAAAACCGTAACACCGTAGTATCTTGGAATGTCTATTTGGAAAAAAAAAAAAAGCAATTGAATCCAGTTAAAACTTATTTTTATTAAACAGCACAGGATTTTAATTCAATATTTTTGATAATACATTTGTATGGTTCAAAAAATTACACAATTTATAAAGAGAGGGGGCAAAGTCTCCATTTCACTTTGTCCCCATCTGCTTAATTCCTACCACTTCTCCCTCCCCCCATCCATCCACAGTTGACCATTGTTACCAGTTTTTAATGTCTCCAGAGTTTCTTTGAATATATGCACAGGTAGGGGTATATAGTCTTATAAATTCTAATTTTCCCCCTTTTAGCCAAAAAGGGAGCATACTTACATGAACTCTTCCTGCTCTCAATAGATTGCTCCTGTAAGATTCTTAGCAGTGCCGCTTGGGGATCTGCGTAGCTAAGGTATTCTTTGCCCATTGGGGACACACTCAGAATTGCACTCCTGCTAAAGCTCAGTGTGGCTTGCTTCCTGTGGCTTGCTTCCGGCTGGGACTTTCACCACGTGCTCTACCAGAATGCCTTTCTGGCAGATTCCTCAACAGACAGACATTAGAATTTGGATTTTCTTGTTTGTTGTTAAGATTCAGATTTAGTGGCTTTTTAGATGTTTATTGGCCATTGTTTTTTTTCTTCATTTGTGAATTGCCTATTTAGGTCCTTTGCCTGTTTGGTTTTTTTCTTCAAGAAATCAGTCTCTAATTTCAAGAGCTAACAGTCCAAACGTTTTCTCCTGTTGACCTTTGTCATTTCATTTCCTATGAGGGATTGTGTTTAAGTGTTTCGTTTTATAGAATCCAGTTCATCAGTCTCTTCCTGTATGCTATCCTGCTTCGATCACGCTAGGAAAGATTTTTTTTTCCCCAGGCCAATGTTAAAAATACTTTTCTTATATTTTGTTTTAACAATCTCATGGTTTTATGTTTATAATTGAATCTTTAATTCATACGGAATTTATTTTTCTTTGTGGTATAAAGTAGGATTCCTCACTTTGCTTTTCTCTCCAAATTGAAAGCTGGTTCTCTCAACAACTTTTATTGGATAATCCACTCTTGCCTTCATCTCAAATGCCCTTTCATCCTGTACTAAATACCCAAGTAATCACAGGTATGTTTGTAAATATCTGTTCTGTGCTGATGATCTGACTATTCCTACGCTAATCCCTACTGCCATAGGGAATTCCAAAGGGCAAATTCCCATTCTTCTTCAGAAGTGCTTTTGCTTTTCTTATGTTCTTAGAGTTGATGCAATTTCAGAACTTACGTATTCATTGAGATTTTGATTGAAACTGTATTAAATCTGGGGAGAGTTGTCCTCATCTCTGATTAAATCTTTTGAGTTTTATAGTTTTACGGACATACCTCTTGAACTTTCAAATTATAGTTAAATTTATAGTATTTAATGACCCTGTGAATAAAACCTTTTCCATTACCATTTCTAGCTGGTTATCATTAACATCCTTTAATCCTCCTAATTTATTATATCAGCCATCTGATTGAGCTCTTTTATTCTTGTAAGTTTTTCCAATTGATTCTTTTGGATTTTCTAGGTAAACAAATCGTGTCATCTGCAAAGAATAAAAACTTTTTTTCTCTCCAGGATTTACACATATTACCTCCTTGTAGCTTTGTTTTGTTAGCTAGGACCGTCAGAACACTATTGAAGAGTGAGAGGAAGTGGTTAGAAAAGGCAACTTTAAAAAAAAGAAAAGAAGAGAAGACAATTGTATCTTATTCCCAGCTTTCATGAGAGTTTTTCTTATTTACTATGCTGTTTATTATTGGCTTCCTTAGGTAACTACAAAATCACATTCAGAAAGTTGCCTCCCACTTCTAGCTTAAGAGTTTTTTGTGGCTGCTATTTTGTTTTATTTTTAACTCAGGAATGGGTGTTCTTTGGGATTCTATGAAGGTGTCCTTTTACCTTTCAGTGTGATGAATTATATAGCAGTGTTTCTTTATGTTGAGCCATTTTTTTAATTCCCAGGAGGAAAAACCCTATTTGGTCCTGATATACTGTTATTTTAATTCATAGCTAGATTCCATTCAACCCTGTTTTATTTAGGCTATTATCTATATTTATAAATGTGATCGATTTTTATGAATACGTATGATTTCTTTCAAGGTTTTTGACCCATTTTATACTAATATCTTTCCATGAATTTGTAAGCTTTTTTGAACATGGTATACACAGACACACACACACACACACAAATTGCTTAGCACAGTGCCTGGTACATATTAAGTACTGAGTCAACGTTAAATTCCTATTCCTATAATTTCTCTGCTCTGCTCCAGAACAGCTAAAGAACATATGTAGTTTGGGTTTATAGAAGTTTCTTGAAAAACTATCTGAAACTGGTGCTTTTTTTGAAGAGTAGATTTTCTCCCTGGTATTGGTCTGTTATGGGTCTTGAGTCAGATTTTCTGGAAAATTTTCCAGTTCATCCTGAGTTCTTAAAAATCCCTTTTATACCTAAATGATGTCCCCCTCCTCATTTCTAAACAAGATGTTAGTAGCTTACAAGTGGTTTGACGTAGGGGTTGGGATGGGTTTCTCTCTAGGTACAATGGGCAAGGCTGGTCCAGCCAAGAGGGCAGGATTCCAGTCCCTTGAGCAATGTGGATGGCTTCAAAAACCTGACCATATTGCCTAAAAATCCTACACAGAGGGGCTTCTGGGTGGCCCAGTTGGTTGAGCGTCTGACTCTTGGTTTTGGCTCAGGTCGTGATCTTGGGATCGTGGGCTTGAGCCCCACATAGAGCTCTGTGCTCAAGGTGGATTCTGCCTGGCATTCTCTCCTTTTCCCTCTGCCCCTCCCCTACCCACCCACGCTTGCGCACTCTCTCTCTCACTAAGTAAAAAAATAAAATAACATTTTTTTTTTAAAATCATACACAGACACAATTCACATTGTTTCACAGTTTGCCAGTGGTTACTGGATACCCTCAACTTCTGTTTTCTGCACAAAACTTCAGTGCCATAAATAACCCACAGCTTTCTTCAGGTCATGGTGCAGTAATAAACCACTTCATCCTTTAAACGCTGGGCTGATTTAGGACTCAGGGTGGGGAGCAGCACCAGAGGTGGCTTTAGACTTAGAACTCAGCCTGGCGGTGTCTGCCTTGGGGCCATTGGCATTGATCGCCACTTCCATGGAGTACGTTTTTCCAGCCTGCTTCCTCCTATGTGGCAGGCCGTCCACTAGGCACTAGGGTATAACTATGAACAGACACAGGCCTGGTGCTCTGTGAGGTCACAGTCTGGTAAAAGAACCAGATCTGCAACTAACAGTCAAGGCTGTAAAGTGCCAACAGGAAACCTGCTTACCCTGAGCTTGGGTAATTTCACACTGTCCTCTACCTCTGTCCCTGCTCGGCACAGGGCTCACCTCGCTGTCTGTGCTCTGTCATTTGTTAAGGGCAGAAGGGAGGAGGAGCGCAGGTGCAAAAGCAAGTCGTCTTAGAAAAGGCATTGGCTGGGGAAGGCAGCTTCCAAGAGGGTGTTACCTTTAGCCTGATGCGTAAAAAAGGAGAAATGGCATCAGGGGCAGGGTGGGGTGGGCCAGGCAGCAGCTACAAAGGCAGAAGCACTAGTCTGCTGCATTTCAGAAATTGCAAGTAAAGGGGATGCCTGAAGGCAGGGACCGAAAGGGGGAGCTGGAGTCAGACATGGGGGGCTTGGAGTTAGGACTCGATCCTATCATTTCTGAGACATAGAATGTTCTCAGCTTGCTCCTTTTTCGTGCAGTCCTTGTTTTACCAGTGAATGGCCTATAGAACATACTTTGATGGGGACCCAAGGGGGGGCTCTGTTGGAAGCCATTGGTGGGTGTTAAGGCAGAGGGTGGGAGGATCAGATTCTCTCTCTGCACTGTGGTTCTGTGAAGTGGGTAAATTTGGGAGACCGGAGGCCCGTATGATTGTTTGGCTGCATGCTTATTTACATTTCACCCCATTCCACAAAGAATTTGAAGAGATTGACCACCATACTGTTGGGTATATGTACCCAGCAGAGACTGAAGCAAAGAATCTGCACCAGAGAAAAGGGAGCCCCATCAGGAGATGGAGGCCATGGTCCAGGTGGGGATGAGGCCTGCAAGAATGCAGAGATGGAAGGCTGGGGAAAAGGCCCAAATCTCACACTCCAGGGCCTGCCTGACCTGGAGGTCAAGGTGGCTGCCAGCCTATTTGGGAGTGCTGGGGAGTGCCTTCCACCCAAGAGTATTATGGGTCTAGGACAGCAGGTGGTGCTGAGACCCATATCTGGGTGTCAGATCCCAAAGCTTGGCGATGTGGATGGCTTCAAAAACCTGACCATATTGCCTAAAAATCATACACAGAAGGGCTTCTGGGTGGCTCAGTTGGTTGAGCGTCTGACTCTTGGTTTTGGCTCAGGTCGTGATCTTGGGGTTGTGGGCTTGAGCCCCACACAGGGCTCTGTGCTCAAGGTGGATTCTGCCTGGGATGGAGTAAGGGAATTAGTCCATCAAAGCTTTGTAGCCAGAAAGCATTTGAAT